TTAATCCCCCCCGGCAGACCCATCGTATCGGACTGTGGGAGTGAGTCATATAGATCAGCCGAGTATATTGACTCTTTTATCAACCCTCTGGCGAAGATTCACCCCAGTTTTATCAAGGGAGGTCTGGGCCCTCTCTGACCAGATGTCCCGGCTGCAGACATATTCTGCACACCATCATCTATCACTCTAAAGAACTGATGTCTGTTGGCTGCGTTTCATTTGGCAGAGTATGGGAGAGACAGCACAGCTTCTGTAAACCTTACTTTCAGGAATCTTTTTCCATCTGCAATCAATGTTCTTTTTACTCTCGACACGGCTTCCACTCACCAGCCTTTTCCCCAGTATTGATTCATCTGTGATATATAAACAGGAACGTTCAGAAATGATACCATTAACAGTGTTCCCTCCCTCCTCATTTCTTTTGCGCTTTCATTAGTCAACGTTTCAAAGGCCATTTCAAAGGCCTTTGGACCTAATGGTCTACATCCAACTCTTCTTCCACACAGTCTAATGCTCTTGACCAGTTGAACCATTTACATATTTTGTGTTCCGTTTTGCAGGAAATACAGTGCACACAGGCTGGTGTGGCCATAAACTAAACAGCACCTGGCACACGGGCTATTTATACCTGAATGAACACCGCCAAAGTCGACTACATCATAAAATGCGGGACCCTGAGCGGTAGACTGGTCACAACTAGGCTTTTCCGAATAAGGAAATGACAATCCAAAGCAAATAAGTGAGGCCGCAAAGTAAGATTAAACTCCAAAGAATTATGAAAAGCTTACAGCACCTTGTATTCCGCAGCAGTCTCCCATCCAAGTACTAACTAGGCCCAACCCTCCTTAGACATTTCTGCTCCACAGTCTGACCATTTTCATCAGTCAGACCACATCAGTTTTTCCATCAGTGCAACAAACTCAGAACAAACTAATGTCCTGTTGTAGTGAGCTGCAGCCCAGCGGGCCACAGTCTGACTGAGCTCGTTAGCCTGAAATGAGGAACACCTGTCTCCACTTAGTCCCTGAGGACAGCAAAGCAGAAAGGGTTTCAGAGCTGTGGAGGATCTACTGTTCTGTCTCTGTCTGTCTTTGGCAGTAGCTGTCAGAAGGAAACAAATTTACTGCCCACCACAGGACAAAGCTGATCTTTAGCTCATTTGGAATTTGTTTGTGTCTCAGTGAAGCATTTCTGCTTTGCATTGTGTTACAATGAACTACAGATGTCCAAATGAAGCTCTCTGTAGATTCACTGTTCTGCCAAACTCCTTTTCATTTGTACCTTTTCTCATCATCAAGGGTATTTTTCTTGTAATGTAGGCCTTTTGTAAATAAAAACTGGCAGAGGATGGTCTGGATACATCTACCTCTGGGTTATGGGCCCAGCAGGCTTCCTCTGCCTTACTCTGCTTTGCATGCTGTGTGTCAGGGCTTACTGTATTCAATAAAAATCCATCCTCCTCTGAATAATGTTTTGGTGTTGTTGGTGCTGACCTCTGACACTGACTCTTAGGGAACCACTGAGCTCACACAGTATTTAGTGGTTTGAATGAAATCATTGACAGGAGAGATCAGGGTGATAATAGTTTTTATAGAGGCTGTCTGTATGCTGTGGACTCAGCAACGTTTGTGTAGTTTTGTGGTGGGCATGGCCTAAATCTTCTCCACACCTCATGGGTTTGTAGCAACAAGGGGAATTAGCTCAAATAGTAGAGTGCTTGCTTAGCTTGTGAGAGGTAGTGGGATTCATACCCACGTTCTCCACAGACACTGTTTTTTACAAAGACCAACAAATAATCATTACCTTTTTTTATGGAGTTATTTTGATGCCAAAACGTTGTACACAACAAAATGTGTTGCACACAAATAAAAGTTGTTTTGCACACAAATAATTTTTTTGCACACAAATAAAACTGGTTTTGCACACAAAAAATTGTTTTGCACACAAATAAAACTTGTTTTGCAAACTGTCCTCAAATGTTGCACTCAAAATATCATTTATAAATTGTCCCCGACTACAAAACGGTCTCTGCTCGCACAAAACAGCTTCTCCTCGAGTACAAAACCCTCTGCGGCACATTTCTGCCAAAAGTCACGTGATACAATAGGAGTAGTTTTGACTTCCCGACAGCAGGGGGCGCACTCGAAACAACGGAAACGCGCCGGTTTGGGTGAGGAAGACAGACGGGATTTCAAAGCTAACACCATGAGCACCCCACAGGTGAGTTTCCAAACTTTCACGGTGAAAAATGAATATCTGACTCGGTGAAAAATGAATATCTGACTATGTCATAAACATGCAGATAGAGCATTTACAAACAAATAATTAAAATGAATGTAACATAGCGTTACACCAGATCCTATGTATCTCACTACCTTTCTAACTCCATTTCTTCAAAGTAAAAATGAGGATGTGTGCCAAACTTCAAGTATGTTAGAACTGGCAATGGCCACACAGTAATTTTCTTGAAAAGTTAGTTTTCATTTTAGAAGTGATTTTTTTTCTTTTAAGAGTAGTATTATCCTTTACATAACCATAACACATATGTGTTGCAGCATCCACGGATGAACTGAAGGCCCTCATAAAGTTCTGGGTTGGATGGGAGGCTCCTACACAAAGTCTGAACGTGGAAATTAGTCACAGTAGTCTACCCAGGGCATCAACGTGCTTCGAGACACTCCGGCTTCCATCACACTACAAAGAATTTGAAAAATTCAAGAAAGACTTGATGGCGTCTGTAAATACACATGACACGGGATTTGGGCTTGTTTAAACATAGTGTTAACATTTTACAGTTTTAGTTGCCAGCATTTTGTTCATAGCCTTGAATGGAGCCTTTTAGGCTGAACAGTAAAAAAAAAGGCATGTTTTATTTTGTTATAAACGTGCTGTCCTGTCTTGCGTGT